ACGCCTGGAAGATGGCGCGGGGGCCAGCGGCTGCCACCATTCTGACGGTGCACGAGCTGGGATGGCACATGGAGGACGCCTGGACCATCCTCGACGGCGCCCGCGGCAAGTGGGGCATCCGCGAGGTCGCTCCCCTCGAGATCCTGCGATCTGCAGAGAGGGTGGTCGCAAAGAAGAAGCTCATGGACTGGGCGCTAGCTGATGAGGGGCGCCAGCCGCTCCGACCCACCCCTTTCTTGCTGCCAGTCAAGCAGCTCATGCGCTCCGAGACCACGGAGACCTTGGCGAGGCACCACGTCAACATTGCCAGGACGGTCGCGCTAGGAGGTTACCCTGTACAGACGGTGTGCTACGAGCGCGGCCAGGTCACGAGCCCTCTGTGCCCGTTGTGCGGCAAGAAGAAGGGCACTTTGATGCATGTGTATTTTCTTTGTGATGCAGATGTTTGCGTCACGATTCGTGATGGGCTCACGGAGCCGACCCTCAAGAACAGTTTTCGAGACGTGGTGCACTTGGGCGAGACGGCCGCCACGAAGGAGGAGCAGGGTTGCAGAGGCGGCGACGCGCTTTTCTGGAAATGGGCTCGCGGCCTGATCGCGGACCCCGTGGCCGACTACCAGGTGCCCACGCCGCCCGACGAGTATCAGTGGGGCGATCCCGACGGCGAGATGGTGCTGTCGGGCTGGGTGGCCACGGACGGCTGCGTCCTGTCCCCCGACGTGGAGGAGGTATCCACGGGAGGCTTCGCCGCCATCACCTGGAGCGCTGAAAAGAAAAGTGAGATTCAGTCCCTGTTCGGTGCTGTGCCAGTTGCGAGGCCCACGTCGGCCCACTGTGAGATTTGGGCTGTTTACCAGGCTGTAAAGCACTCGGTCGGGCTCGTAGGGCTCCTGATTGATAGCAAGCAGGTCGTTCAGGGGCTCTTGGCGGGCAACGAATTTTGTGTGGCTAGCGAGCAGATAACCGCGCACCTGTGGAAGCTTGTTACCATGCCCTGGAGGATCAGTGTCTCATCCCAGGGGAATCCCTTCAGGTAGTCAAGATTAAGTCTCACATGACCAAGGCCCAAAGAGCCAGTCTTTCGGGTGAGAGTCTTGTGCATTTTGATATGAATAGGTGTGCTGATGCTCGTGCAAGAGAGGGAGCTGATCCCTATGCCGCCCCAAAGTGGAAGGTGGAACAGGTCAAGCAGTGTCTTAAATTTCAGAAGAGGCTGCTACAGTATGCAGCGTCTTTCCGAGTGGATCTTAGCGAAGCCAAAGCCACCACCACGAGCCTGCCGTCCCCTGCTGGTCGGGCTCGGAGGAGCGAACGTTTTGCCCGCTCTTTGGCAGTCGCGCCTGAGCGGGCCCATCGTTTTTGGCTCCTTGAGGGTGGTAAGTGGCAGTGTCTGGATTGCTCTCGCCTCGTCCGCGTGGCCGCTCGTCTCAGCATGGCCAAGCGGGAGTTGTGCCCAGGATGGGGGGGGGCCATTTCAAAAGGCAGGGCCCGTTTGAAAGTCAAGGCCCTGGTCCACGGTGATTGTTTGACGGACCAGATCCGTGCAGCTGCGGCTGAGAGGGCTGCGGAAGCAAGGGGGTCTGGGTCCCAGGTTTCACCTCCTCCACCCCCATCTCGGGAACGCGAAGTGGTTGAGAAGGTGGGTTATGCTGTGTGCCGAATTTGTGGGGCTTTCGCCCGTTCCCGAGCCCAGGAGTTGTTGCGGGAATGCGAGGGCCCTTTGACGAAGGGTATTGTCGCCCATCGGTGGCGGAAGCTCTATCGTGATCGAATCCTGGACGGTAGGAATCCGTACGCGGGAAAGCCCGTGCGAGAACAGGATTGACCAGTTTTGCCAAGGTGATGTGTGGTCCAGAGGCCCGTCCCCAAGAGCCCCCCAGTCAAAAAAAAGAGGAGGAAGAGGCGGAGGCGGAGGCGGAGGCGGAAACGGAGGATGTGGCGGAGGACGAGGAGGAGGAGGAGGAGAGGAAAAGGAGGAGGAAGGGGAAGAAACAGAGGACAAGGAACATGAAAATGATGACGAGGAGGATGAGGAGGAGGATGAGGAGGATGGGGGAATCTGATGATGATGATGATGCTGATGATAGTAATGCTGGTGATGATGGTGATGATGGTGATGATGATGATGAGGTGGAGGAGAAGGATGATGATGATGATGCTGCTGCTGATGATGATGATGATGATGATGATGATGCTGATGATGAGGACGATGACGATGATGAAGATGATGATGATGATGGTGGTGATGATGAGGAAGACGATGAGGATGACGGTGATGATGATGATGATGATGATGACGATGATGATGATGCTGATGCTGATGATTATGATGATGATTATGATGATGGTGATGGTGATGGCCATGGTGATGGTGATGGTGATATTGACGATGATGATGATGATGACGATGATGATGATGATGACGAGGATGATGATGTTGATGATGATGATGGTGATGATGATGATGAGGATGAGGATGAGGATGAGGATGATGATGATG